CAACGGCACCCATGTCAGTAAATAAGAGTAAAATTTAAAATCCATGTCATGGCTAGAGATTTTTATTACTTCTACGATGATTGACTCGAGCTTGATATATTTCATATCAAAACACTTTCGGGGAGATCCTTCAAATATCCCACATACATATAAATATAAACATCAACGCCAAAAAGAATAATCAGTCTCGATTCTCTACCGATTCCTGCAGGCAAAAAATTGATGAAAGTCACTGAAAATCCGCGTTAACACCAGGTGTTCGCGAAAAAGGTAAGCATGTGCTGCTCTACCGATAGTACCGTCCGGTAACACCTTCTATAAACCAGTCTCGTAAACAGATTCCAGAAGGCAAAAATGCTGGTGAAAATTATATGAACGGATCACTGAAAATCAGTGATGACACTAGGTGTTCGCGAAAAGGGAAAGCACGGTCTGCTCTATCGGTAACACCCAACGGTAACACTTTCTATTAACAAAACACATACATGATTTTTCCCTGTAGTATCCCACATACTGGTATTATTTTCGTTATTGGCAGTAATATTCCCTTTAGAACGGTCTGGAGAATTACCTGTGGTTTGTCATAAGTACTGCTTTAATACTTAATGTTACCTATCGTGCTGTCTGTCGACTTGTACAATGTGTAACGCATGATCTATATTCTGGCAACTGGCATTCATGTCATGGTGAAAATCACTGAAAAATCACTGAAAATCTCGCGTAAAGGGTAAGCATGTGCTGCTCTACCTGTAGCACCGCCCGGTAACACTTTCTATTAACAACTCTCGGAAACAGATTCCAGAAGGCAATATACTGGTGATATATATGTAATGCATGAACTGTATCCTGGCAATTTGACCTGGCCTCCATCATGTCCGGAACAGGCTGGTCATTCCATTCTGTGTGACCAAGCATGACTGTCCGTCCAGTGATTTGTTGGAACTGGCCAGAGGTTGTCATTGCGCTGACTGATTGTCTAGACCTTGCATTGTTCCCTTCTCGCAAACAAGGAGTGGTGGAGTAGACCTTGCAATGGATAGGTTCTCTCTTCACGCCGAATGGGTTCGATTCCCCACATTGGTACAATGTGTGAAGCCCACTTCTGGTGTCCTCTGCTGTGGTATTGCTAAACGATCCGTACACCATACTATCACAGTGGCAAACGCTCTGAGTGACGCACGTCTCTGTGAGATGCCATGCTAGGTTTTGGAGGCACAACCAGGTCCCTGTTGATCCGAAACTAGACGAAACTGTTACTGACAGCTAGCTGATCGTTTATAGGATATATCCGATATGGCTTAACAATGGAAGTATCTGGTTAGGTATTTTAATAGTTAGTAAATCCTAGTCGCTGACGTATAAGGTTGGTTATTACCAGGTCAGTTTGTGTCTGTGCACACTCGATTAGAAACTTCTCTTTTATTGCGGATCAAATATTTATGTCGGATCTCTTGCTACAATGTCGTCGTAAACCTCGTCGACAAATCTCTTATTGACACCCTGCCGCTATTTTCTATCTGTGTAGAGTATTGGAACAAAATTTAAAAGGACCGTGAGTAATTGTTCGGATGTTCCTAGTTTCGGATCTAATTACCCAAGGCAATCGGCTCTTACACCATTTTATGTTACGCGATTGCCGTCATCACGAAGTTCAGTTCGCCATGGAAGTTTCCTGGGAAATGAGACAAAATACAATCCGAACTGGTAATATGGTTATTATGAATGGAGTTGTAACGACTTCCAATAAGATCCGACATTAAGATTCAAGGGCCGCGAAATCCGATAAGATCCGAACTCTTAAAACCCACAATGCACACAGTGCACATTAACAGGACATGTGCAACTAAAATGGGACACAGTTTGTGGGGCCGCTGAACTGTCAGTTTAATAATATATCAATACTTTGCTCCACTGTTTCAAGACTAAATGTCACTGACACTAAAAGCGAAATTCACTGAAGCGTCTGATTAATCCCCATGCACAAGCTTCGGAAATAGCTTGGAGAAAAAATTAGTTTGGAGATGCGTTTTATGAAACGAGAGAGCGAAATTATGAAGTAAAAAAGCCCTATGCCTCTGGAAATGACTCTTCATATCAAATTATATTTAATGTAGTATTGGCAAGCAAGAGAATATGAAGGGGTACGGTTATCAGACAGGTACTGGTTTGAAAAATAAATGCATGTGACTTCCGGTGCAGTCTGATACAACGACATGAGAAGTGTATAACAGGTATCATTGTCCTGGCTTTTTCATTGGAATAGTAAAAAGAACGATATGTGAGTAATCCTGACATCAGCTTTTTGCATAAGATATCTATCAAACAAATCCGGCCCAATTTGATTCCGGGAATGGAAAATCAATAATGATTTCCATGATGTAAACAATTAAATAATGTTCATGCCGTCGCTTACTTTTATTCAATCTGTGAAGCATACCTGAAACAAGCTTTGGGTCTGTGTGTATGCATCATGAACCGCGTCCATTTTCTGACAAAGGAAACATGCACAGTGTATGGTTTCATAACGCCACGCGTCACACCTGGGCGACCAACCAGGTCAGTTGGCAGTTGCAAAAATTAAATCAATCAACACCTTGACTACAATACCCAATGCATTTTTTATAAACTTTGTTTTCCAGAAGGAATAAGATATCTAGCGTTTTTAGAGATATAACGAAACATTTAAAGTCTGACAAAGAGGATAAAATGTTGATGAATTATGACCTACAGCTGTAAAACAAACACTATTCTATAAATCTTCACCAGGTTTTGAAACTGGCAGGTGAACAACTCCACCATTAATGTCGGTCGGGGCTTCCTACGGAGGAAATTGCTTCTTTTACATAAAAGGAGCCATAGAAGAGATCCTTTGTTTCTCATAACATAATTCTTTTCATTTTAGAGAAACCTTATTTTCATCTTTTTCTTTTCATATTACTGTTAATGCCTTTGTAAAATTAGTAAATCTGGAGATTTGACTAGCTGTACAACCTGAAACATAAAATACACACACTTGATTCAAACAAAACAGGAAAATACTTCAGTATATACCCGAAGACCCTTTGAGCGGCGAAAGATCTTGTGTGCATAAAGGGAGTTTTGACAAGCCCGCATATCTGGACTCTGTTTTTGTATGTATACACCTGAAAATTGGATATCACAAAGAAAATAAAAAACGTTATCGAAATGTCACCAGGGCCCCGTTCCACAAAGTGATCTTAGCGCTAAGTCGATCGTAACTCCCATTCTTTAACACTGACGTACGACAATCGTAGCGCTAAGATCGCTTTGTGGAACGGGGCCCAGGCTCTCAAAGGTTACCAGGTTATCAAGAAGTTACCAGGCCCTCCGAAACACTGCAAACCTAAGGTCTAAAACACAACTATGATACTCGAGTCACCATTGAATACATCCCCATTTAATAACCATTTCTTATGTGTTTCATTTTAGCAACAATAAAACATGGGTGTACAGTACTGTACACTTTCTTATGACACGAAGTTTATGTGTTTATTTATGTGTCGGTTGACGAAAAATGTTGCTTGGTGGACACGGATGATTTACATTCCATGTGTTTATGGTTGCACTGTAGTGTCTGTGAACAGATTGGGTGCTACAGGTCCAATACAGGGGAGTTATTGATAAACATCCCACTACGCAAACAGAACATTTAAAACGGACATATCTGGACGGCGCTGTTGACAGTGTATCATGATGAGGTCATCCCTGCCGGGGAATATAGTCTGAATCATGCCTCATTGGGTACACGTGTATGGTTAGTATTTGCAACTTAGCATGGTCAACTTAAATACATTCTGATATATATACTCACCGAATAGAAGAAACGGCGAGACTAGCATGTACAAATTTGATTGTTGTTTAACCCCGCACTCAGCAATATTTAGTGATGTGACGGCGGACTGTTAACAGTCGAATCTGACCCGTGAAGATCCGGAGTAGAACTGGTCTTCAGCAACGCATACTTGCCGTAAAAAGCGACTATGTTTGTCGTAAGAGGCGACTAACGGGATCGGGTGGTCAGGCTCGCTGACTTTGTTGATGTTTGTATCCCAATTGCGTAGATCGATGCTCAGGATGTCAATCACTAGATTGTCTGGTCCAGACTCGATTATTTACTGACCGAAGTCATATAGCTAGAATATTGCTGGATCCAGCGTTAAACAGCAAACAAACAAGCAAAAAATGATAATAATAATCGAGTCTGGGCCAGACAACCCTGTGATTGACATCATGAGCATGGTCCACGCAATTGGGGAACGATGACATGCAAATCAGCCAACTCACCAAGCCTCAACACCCAATGCTTTTAGTTGCCTTAAACGACAAGCCCAACTTTCGTGGGTAATAAATGACAATGTAGAAACAGAACGTTTCTCATATCAATACACCGAAATTCGATTAAACTGTCCTTTATATTAAATTTTCAAATCCCATTTTGTTAATTAGTAGCAAACTACAAACGCGTTGTACCGCAACGGATGCACACTCTTGGTCTATCATTTACATTCAAAATAATCCATCGAGGAAACTATTGATATCTTCAGCTTTGAAGACTGTATCCATTATTGAATATGCACAATGGAGTTTCTCCTCGGTGGAATCAAAGTGAATGTATTGTTTATCGATCACTCGACCTTGACCTTCCCTCCTGGCAACACGGGAATTGAACTAAAACGCGGCGGCTGGGCTTGATTTAAAGAGACAGGTCGAAAAACAAGCTTAGAGCTGGAAATATGTGACTCTTAAATCTACCCAGTCACACCTACGCAAGTCCTACAATGTCTAGCATATTTGAACAGTCGCTGAGAAAGGTCTCACACGCTTTGTATAAGCCATACCAGCAAATTTATTCCTTACAAAGCTGAATGCAATCTTCACACCTCCGCATTCCTCTGTTCTGTATGACAGGCCAACTTTCTATACTAAACGGGCGGTTATATATCTCATGAATATTCATCAGATGTGATCAATAATCGTAAGAGCGCTCCAAGGCGACTTTCCCGCTCTTGGTGGGTGTATTTTGGGTGCAGGCGCTGTTAGCTGCACACGGGAAGCGGTGACGCTGTAACAAACCTCATTCGTCATTGTCCCTGCCCAATTTGACCCAACCGGTACAAGCTGAGCAGACGAGACCGGGAACGTGAGATCGTCTGCTTCTACCTGGCGCGAGCGTACAGTATAGCAGACGACCAGTCAGACTGAACACTCGGCTCGGGGTTACATTCTGTAGGATTTTCGAGTGGACTGACTTGTGAATCATTTTCTTTTATTGGAGTACCGGTACAGGCTTTGTATCAGACAGCATGGGGGAAAAGGAAGGTAAGTTAGCTTTGTGCCATGTATACCTTGTATTACACTACAGCATGTCAGTGTATACATATGGTTTTATTATATACCTCTTGATGTATACATAATATATTGAAATTGTTATCGGGGCAAGCTGTCCTCGTTTGCACAACTTCGTGTGGGATACGGATAGTTTATCTCACAAAGATTATCTGATTATTTTTTTTCACTGACCAACGTTCATAACGCTGTGTTGGGATATAGCAGTGGAACTTATAGTATGCAATCGTATTACGGTATTTAAAAAAAATCGTCTCGCGGTGTTAAACGAGCAAAGTACATATATGCTTGATAGAGCTGACTTCTGATACAGATATCCAGAAGTAAGCGATCGTCGTGACATGAAATCAATCAATAGTGCAAACATCAGCTGATGACTTGTCAAACGGTGCTATGTGTACCTGATCAGCCATCTGTGGTCAGCCATGTCCAGTGTGGAGCCAAAGTGGCACGTGCATGGTTGGAAGAACGGCCAGCCAACCAAGCACATTGACATTACCGCGAGTTGTAAAACACGCGTGAGTGTGCTCCTGGAAAAAGCGGTCCCTCGGGGTTAACACTAGCTTCTATGATATCAAACTATTAAATTTTGATGTTATGTACCGCGGCGTGAAGTCTGGTCCAACAGTATAGACATTGACAGACCAATTAGGAACCGTTCTTTGTTCTACGGGTTTCAGAAGATGACTAAGCGTTGCTTGTCTGGTTTGGCTCGGTGCCCATCAAGATTTATCCAATTTGAATTAATATTTCAGAAAACCTAATATGTGTTCGAGCCGGATATTGTCTACCTCGATTGACCTGTATTTGACATGCATGCAGTGTTGTATTAAGTAGAATATTTACTGTGGTCCGTGGACGAATATTTGGAAGTGGACATTGCTAAAAGGAGGTGATGAAGTCATAAAGTTCGCCTATGGCGCCCTTGCGAGGCATGACACAATTATCCGAAGTCTGGGTTTGATCAGATTTTAAAAATACTACGTTTAGTATAAAAGTAGGTCATGTGGAGCTGCATATCCCTCATGCGTAAATCCTCTGTTTCGGAAAAACTGGGCTATTATATTGTCCCCGAAATAAAGTTGTGTATACGGGATTCGTTTAATAATTCTGTAAAGAACCCTCGATTTTCTTCACCCTAGAGCTGAAAATGATATGAGAATGGCATGCTAGAGCTGAGAAGAAATTCGAAGGGATGCTAAAGCTTAGAAGAGGGCTGGAGTGGGATGCTAGAACTTAAACGGGGATGAGAATGGGATGCTAGAGCTGAAAAGGGGATGGGAATGGGATGCTAGAGCTGATAAGGGGTGCTAGAGCTGTGAAGAGGTTGAAAATGGGATCATAGAACTGAAAAGGGGATGCTGGGGGTGCTAGAGCCGAGAAGAGGTTGAAAATGGGATCCTAGAACTGAAAAGTGGTGGAGAATGGGATCCTAGAACTGAAAAGTGGTGGAGAATGGGACGCTATAGCTGAAAAGGGGTGAGAATGATATTATAGTGATTCTTGTATTAAATATGCTATAAAATATGCTGCAATATTTATCACAATGCAGTCAGTGATAATCAGTGATATAATTATATGGATTACCTTTAAAAGTTAATGATCGGATAATATGTCACATATTTGCCCTTTCGATGTTTATCCTTATGTTTCATTAAAACTAAAACGTATACATTTTATGAATACCCCCGACAAATAATTAATACATATATTCGAGGTGTATAGATTGAGTCTTCCTCATTTATCATGAAGTGACATCGCTGTTAAACAGTCTGATAAATAATTATACAGAGGTTCTTGTATACAATATACAGTAAAACATGCTACAATATTTATCACAATGCATTCAATGAAGGATATAATTATATGGATGACTTCAAACTTAATGATCGGATAAAATGTCATATATTTGCCCTTTCGATATTTATCTCCATACTGTACTTCATTGAAACTAGAACATATACATTTTATGAATATCCCCGACAAATAATTGAATCATATTCGAGGTGTATAGATTGAGTCTCCCTCGTTCATCATGACGTGACATCGCTGTTAAACAGTCTGGTAAATGATTATACAGAAATAACGGCCTACTGTCAAATTGTCAAGTAAAACTAAGGCATCTCCCTACAATCTTCACTCAAAGTTGACCTATCAATGTTTTATTTCTCTTGATCACAGTCTCATCACCACACGTTTGAGTGACATATCGTCATGATCTATTTATCGCCGTGAGCTACACGTTTGTTGCTCTATGTCATTTGGAACATTCCATTCAGTCCCACCTTGGCGAGTTTTTCTATTTTCCCACTGGCGACATCGAATTATTGGCTGCTAACTACATGTTTTAGTGAATGGTTAATGCGGTCTGCAATTACGAGAATAAAGTTTAGAGCTTTTCCGCTTGAATTTCATATAAAAGTAAATAAATCTGTGCCACAAAATAATAAGCGCTGAATTTCTTTTGAAACTTCTGGATAACGTAGAAGACAGTCTTGAAAAATGTCATGCATTGGCCACGAAGGAGTGCGCGCGGACGTGAGAGAAGACAACTGTGAAATCTACCAGAGACTTAAAATAATTCCTTTAAGAATGCGCATGGACGTGAGAGGAAACTATTTGCAGGTTTTAAGATGTATATCTGCCTTTGCTAAGATTGTTTGTTCTTAGATACTTAGATCTGCATGTTTTAAACAAAACACATTCGTGCGTATTAGGCATATACGTTTCACCAGGCCGCTGTTGATCAGACTTAAAACACATTACCCCAATGATATTTACTCGTGAAAGGAAACCTCGTTACTTCATTCATTCATGGTATACACTTAATAGGCGGTGATTATGTTATTTTATTCGTGTCGACTTTTGATCCTTTGTAGGAACCATTTATCGTCGTGTCAGAACAAATATCTAACATTAAATTGCCGGAAGGGGATTCTTCTATAAGTCAAACGGCCATCAAACTACCGTTCCCTATCGCCAAACGAGTTCAGTGTTATCAGTCCAATACAATTTCAGTAGTAAGAATATACATATGGAAAAAGAGGTTAACAACATAATTCACGGTACATACATTTCCAGGGGCGGTCGGGTAGCCAAATGGTTAAAGCCTTCGCTCGTCACGCCGAAGACCCGGGTTGGATTCCCGACATGGGTACAACGTGTGAAGCCCATTTCTGGTGTCCCCCTCCGTGATATTGTTGGAATATTGCTAAAAGCGGCGTAAAACTATACTCACTCACTCATTCACATACAATTCCAATACGTTTCCAATCGCTTCAGGACAGGGAAACAAACAGGTTAATTAAGCCACGTACGAGGACACTTTACCTGATGCAAACGCAAACGCAAACGCAAACGCAAACCAATTATTAATAGTCTGCACTTTTAGACCAACTCAAAGGCGATTATTGGTTTCTGTAATCGCTAAAGTAGATTTTACGACCTTTTAGTCCGCCGTTATTGACCCTCCCGATCTGTAATTACCTGTCACAACATATAGCTCATGGGTTTTGGACCATCTCTCAATCATTATCTTTTTTACTGGGTTATTTTGAACACCCGTAAGGGTCATCTCTGCTGTTTGCTCTCATTAATCAATTATAGCCTTTAATCAGGATTGTGGGTTTGGAACATTACATGAAATCAATGTACTCCAGCTGGTAGATTGGGAAACGGTTCTCCCCCGTGTGTACATTGTATACCAGGAAAGGCTATATTAGACAGGTTTATATGCCTGTGTATTTGGACAAAAAGAAGAAAAATATCGGATTCCAGAGAAAATGGAAAATGTCCTATACTTGTGAAATTCTATGTGTTTAATACCATTGCATTTGGGGAAATGTGTATAAGAAAATATTGTGACCAAATTTCTTCAGTTTTTGAAAGGACTTCATTGAACTGATGTTTTAGGTTGCCATGGCGACTAATACTCGTTTATTATGGTCCATTGCATCTACTTACTGTATATGTTGGTGATAATAAGATATGGAAATTATTTCGATAATTAAGATCCAGGCTATAGGTAATCAGTTTTGAGGATCTGGAATAAAAGGAATATGGGAATCGAACCAAGCCTTCGGCGTGCCGAACGAACGCTTTACCCACTAGGCTATCCCACCGGCACTCACAGCCTTGAACCCGGAGCTGTCTGCATATATTACCCTTTACACGACGTCTTACCACGAGAGGCGGTAGTCGGGCCCAATGGCTTCCTTGCATGTCCAGGATCATAGGCATGGATCTGTGAAGGTGTAAGGAGTTCCATTGTTCTCCCTGCGGCATTTTACTAAGAGAAAACCATGCCCAAATTCCATCCTGAGTGATATTTTCTAACATTTCCCCAATGATGCATTTCAATAAAGTAGAATTATTCAATCTCCAAATTGGGTAGCAATTCCCTTGCTCGAAATAGAAAATTTCAATTTCACACTAAATATTTGATAGGTATCCACGTAGCTGGATAATATACATGTACTAGAATATAGGCCGAGAAATCGGACACTTAGTCATCTAGTTATGAATCATGGGACGTTATTCAATAGGTATGTATGAGCTGTTAATGCACAAAGGCAGGTAATAGAGGGATAATGCCACATTCATACACTAATTCTATGGCTTTTCTGCGATTTGGTTTACGATGTTGATGAACCGATAACGTATAGGAAGTACGGGATCTGGTTACATTGATCCTTCCGTGCTTGGCTTGGCCAGGACGTGTGATGTCGAACAGTGCTCAGATGCACAATGACGCTGTTCACTGGCTGTATAGTTAGTGCTGCAATATATATAATGTACATGTCCTTTGTGGTGAATGAGGTTTCTTGGCACGAACGGTTTTGCATATTTTACACATATCAATTGGCCTCTACGAATTACTATATGGCATCACTAATACTAAAGATGGCAGTGCGTTATGTGTGCGCTTTTCACGCCAACTATCCGGGTTCGATTCCCTACATGGTGCAATGTGT